CCTCGCAGCCCGCAGCTGATGCAAGTGGGTGCCCGGCGTAAAGGCAGCGCAGATCCTTGCTGCAGCCGGAGGACGGTGTTGACCTGCTCCGCACCTCCCAGCTAGGAACAGCTGATGCAGGCGAGTGTGTCTCCCTGCAGCTGCACTGCTGCGAGGTGTAGGTGGTTCCGTTTTCTCGTGGGGATAAACGAGTAAAGAGTCATGCCAAAAAGTACGAGAGGAACTATAAATGCAAACGCATACTGCCTGATCAGCGCATACGCAGACAGCACTGGCCGCGGTCTGTCCGCGCCCACTGTCCGCCGTGCGCCGTGCGCCGTGCCCAACCTGATGCTGTTTCGCACCAGGCTCTGTGCCCGAGGCCGCGTGTGTCGCGCCCGGCACCGCGTCCTGTCTGCATTGAGAACAATCCTGACATTGATGACGTCAGGCGCGTCGCCCCGCGTCGCGAGCTCGTTGATGAGAAGCCCTACCGGCCGTTATCCTGGAGAGGAGGGGAAGGTCCTACCGGTTCATTTCGATAAGCCAGACGTTTTGCGTTTGATCGCGGGGTCCGTTCCCCGCTCAACGTGAGGCATGCTCCTCGGCGACAGAGCAGTTCCCCGCTCAACGTGAGGCATGCTCCTTGGCGACAGAGCAGCCGTGTGAATGCACCGCTGCATGCCAACCTCAACTGACCTGCTGGATAGTGCGAATTTTGATTTGAAAATTTCGAATGCGAAAAGGACTGCACAGCAGATGCTTGTTCGACCTGCGCGTGCCCCGACAGCCAGGAGAGCGACCTGTCCGCTTCCGTTGTCCGCGCCGCGCCTGAAGTCGCGTTTGTCGCGCCCGGCGCCGCGGCCGCTGCGCCTGCGCGCCCTGCACTGTGCAGCGAGACTGCGCCAAGCAGCCGCGACACCGCCGTGCTCATGGTGAACCGTCCTAGAGGGGTACAGGAAGCAGGGAGCCGCGCCGACCTAGTATTCGAGCCCCGGCAAGGCCAACTTTTCACTGGAGATGCAAGTTAATGGAGATGTCCGTAACGACCTGCGTAACGCACTATAGTGATGGGCGCTTTGACGCCATGCATCGTTGTGAGAGGGCTGCACCGGCTGCAGCACGACCCGCGGTGTGTCCGCAGGTCTATGCTGGCCCTACTGTCCCAGGCCCTTCCGCGATGTCAAAATGCAATGGCATTTAAGAGGCAAAACGGCTGATGGCGTGTGTCGCCTTTGCCGGCCAGCGCGAAAGAAATGTCCGGCTTTACTGCGTGTTTCGCCTTTTTCGTGAAAACAGCGAGCTGTGCTGTGTAAAAACGCGTTTGGTAAAGTGTGGAGCCTGCCTGCTGCCTATCGGTTGCGTTTTGGTGCTCGCATTCCTGTTGGGTTAGTACCGATGGTTTGGGGTGTCGGCGTGCGTGCATCACGCATTCCGTCACCCCGCCCATCGAAGGCGTCGACTGTCCCCGGGTCAGGGCCCGGGCCTTGGGACGGCCGCCGCTGGTGTCCGACC